AAAAAGCCTTGTTATTGACATCGAAGATGAGTCATTAGTGGAATTAAATCCATGCATTACTGTTGAGGACAAAGTCGTGGTCATATTGACTGCAATGGTTAAGTTCTTGGCAGGTAAATCAGAAAAAGAACTCATTTTCTTTCACCCTCCAACTCCAACCAGATCTCTGGAAAGAAGGAAGAAAGGTTCAGTGTCACAATCAGTAGGAAGAATTCTAATTGAAAGGATACATTGGCAAACCTAGACTTATTAAATGGCCAAATAAATAACACATACTTTTCTTAAACTACCATCAGAGAAAAATGCAAGCAATAAAAGGGCGGCAGGGGTGGGGGGAGTGTTTCCTCACTAACAGTAACCTCTTTACTTTCAAAGGTGGGTCAGTGCAAAATATTTATGTTGCTGTCCTATATTCAATATCAGACCTGAGTAATACAGCGGCAGTGGTGCCCCGGGGTCCTTTCCAGTGGCCCACCTTGAGCTCCACCTACTGATTAAGAGCATGGAGCTCACAGAGTCTCTGCTGAATATTCACCTGCATTCAACTTCTCCAGAAATTTCAGAAATTCTCAGGGTTACGTCAAGGAGACACACTAGACAGAAAGGGCCTTTCCAGCCTGTGGCCATACTTGACTATAGGATAGGACGAAGGGTATAGTAGAGTATCCCTTATCAACTTTGAACCAGTAACATATTTTAGGTATCACTTTCATCATCTGTATAATAGTACCCACCTAATAGGAACTTGAGATTATCAATCACATCTGGAACACAGTAATCCCTTAATGAAAGTTAAATATAATTTTGATAGCATATTAAGAGAGATAATGAAACAAAAAAATGATGGCATTCCACCAACCAACTCTTAGTTCCTTTTATACCAGCCACACATTGGCCTTCTTGAATGTCCCAATCCCTTTGTGCTACATGGACTTTGCACATGCAGTTAACTCTGAAATGTTCTCTTCTCTACCCACCCACCACTCCCTACATACTAACTAATGCCTACTCATCCTCTAACTCATATAGTCCAGGGGTTGCTTCTATCAGGTAAGGCTTCTCTAACCCCACAGCCAGGCCACAATTCTTTTCTCAAATATAATCATGTTCCTTCGGTTTGGCCACTTTTCTCATTTTATAATTATACTATGCATTAGAGTGGCTATTTGTTTTATGTCTATCTCCTTTAGTAGACTTTAAGTGCCACAGAAACAGAGTCTGTGCATGTTTTTACTTATTGTTATGTTCCTACCACCTAATATAGTGCATGGCACACAAGAGACTCCATATGTGTATATTTACTTCATTTTTTAGTGAATCAATGTTCTCTTTTAGGAACTATCTAGTTCATACACAGAAATCTCTCTCTCTCTCTCTCTCTCTCTCTCTCTCTCTCTCTCTCTCTCTCTCTTTTTTGGATGATAAAGTATTCTAAGTTTTTCACTACAGTAACAGGTCCAAGACCACACAATGTGTTCTAAAATGTTCTAACGCTGTTCATTAAATGTTAAAGAACACAAATGTGTTGTAAAATGTTCTAAAGATGTTCAAAATAATGCTAAAGCAAGGAATGCTAATATTATATTCAGACTCCCCTCTTGCTGCCAGGGACACATGAGCATGAAGTTTAGACAACTGCAACTAATCAGCTCTTATTAGTAACTAGAAGTTAACATGGCAGCAACTGCCAATTTATAAGTAATTATTCCGGTTAATCATCTAAAGTGACCTTATAGAAGATAGAAAGTAGAAAAGCTCATTCCCGAAATGTGCAATGCCCAGATTAAGTTCTCAAACATCTACATCACATTAAAAACACCCTGGTGGCAGGCCAGAGACCAGCAATAACTGATACTCGGGTGTGAATGAGATAATTTTCTCTGTGCTACCCTGGTATAAATGGAACCATTTAAAAACTTATATTTAGTCTGGATCAGGACAAGTATTTTTCTACCGGGATTAGACAGGAGTGGTCACCATACACAAAACCTACAATATTCACATACCTGAAGTTTAGCAAGTCAGCGTCCAATTATATCCTGGGAAAGCTACTGGTTGGTACAGGTACTCATGGTTGAAGTAGGAACTGGTAAACAATTAAACAAAGGTGTTAAACCTTTGGAGCCATTAAAAGTCAGTGCTAAAGAATAAGGTGATAAAGTAGCCCAGTTTTCTGTTATTTTTTTCAAAATTCTCTATATGTATTTCTTTGCCTAGAGTATTAATAACTGATACGGCTCACTACCCCTTATTTGTACCACACTCACATTATCAATGCATTCCAATAGTTTTTAAACCAATAGTTTTAACTAAACTAGTAGTTGTTCAGTGAAAAGAGTCAAAAAGACATGAACCCAATTTTGGGCCTTATCTCTTATCAACTTTTTGGTCAAGTTACCTAGCCTCTCAGAAGCTTAGCTTCTTTAACTATAAAATTAGAGTAAAAATCTCCTTAGAAGAATATTGTGAAGATTGGAGATTTTATACTAAGCTTATCATAGTTTATCACAAAATAGGTCTTCAAGAAATGATATCTTTGACCCAGGGATCCCACTCCTGGGAATATATCCTAAGAATCCTGAAACACCAATCAGAAAGAATATACACACCCCTATGTTCATAGCAGTGTTATTTACAATAGCCAATATTTGAAACCAGTCCAAGTGCCCATCAGTAGAGAAGTGGGTAAAAATACTGTGGTACATTTACACAATGGATTACTATGTGGCTATAAAAAAGAAGGAACTCTTACCTTTTGCGACAGCATGGATGGACCTGGAGATTATTATGTTCAGTGAAATAAACCAGACAGAAAAAGATAAATACCATATGATCTCACTTATATGTGGAATCTAATGAACAAAATAACCCTATAGAACCAGGGGCATGGATACGTGGAACAGACTGACAGAGTTCAGAGGTAAAGGAAACGGGGGAGAGGGGTTGTATGAAAGAAGGTGGAGATTAGCCAAAGAACACATATGCATAGCCCATGGAGACAGACAACAGTGTGGCGAAGGCCAGGGGAGGGGGAGGGGGGCTGGGTGAAGGTGGGTCAAGGGGGTAGGGGGATGGAGGACATCTGTAACAGTGCCAATATATTTTTTAAAATGGTAGCAATTGCTATTAGGAGCTGTAGTCCTAATTATTATAAGAATAACAAATTAAATATACCTTATTGCCCTATGTCAGTTCTTCAAACAATATTTGGTATTCAACTAAAATAGAGGGACAGGATGGGTCATAAGTTTATCCGTTTTTATTTTATACCAAACAATTAAGAGGAGTTCAATTTAATTTAGTGTGATCTTAAATAGTTGTTAGCAGGGAAGGGAGAGCTCTTCATTTTTCTCAAGGTGATGGTCAAATAGTTGTAGTAACGTCCAGGTTTAACTTTCAGTTAGTTGAAAATTAAGAGAAAAACTGAAAAAATTTCCCCTTTCCATGAGGTTTCTTTTAATGTTCCTCAACATTATAAAAGGAATACCTGCTAGTTGAGGGGAAATCAAAATAACTAAAAAGGACTTATAAAGTTTTTATCTTATTTTAATTCCCCCCACCCGTTCCCTGGGGGAGGAAAATGTGCTTTCTAAAGCATTCTTTTAAAATAAACAGGAACCACAGTAATGGGAGTTTCTTTAAAAAGTTACATCCAGTTTTTTCATCTCATTAAAACAAAGCTCATTGTGTAACAAACACACCGACCTGTCAGTACAAGGGGCAGCGGTGGACACATGCTATATACAAACCACTTCAGGCTGCTGCCTACTGGTATTTTGTTTCGATAACACCAGAAAACCACTGACATTTTAATTGATATGAAGTAAAAATCGGGAAGAGGGTTTCCTGATTAAATTCAAAGAGAAAGCTTTAAACTCCCAGGCTGTCCGTTTCCCCTTTATCCCAGGGAACAGCGGAAGAGGGTGGTACTATTCAAGCACCCTCCGACAGCAACAGCCACACCACCCACCCACGCCCACTGCTTGCGGGGAACCAAATGTCCTTGCTCAGGACCCAGCGTGGGAGCCCCGCGCAGGGCTCTTCCTTGTAGACTTTGGCTCTCCAAGAGAAGGGTGTGGAGAGCCGCTAACCGCACAGGCCGCCGAGAGCAGCTGCCACCCAATGCCCGGCAGGCAGCAGCACAAGTGGGAAGGCAGCGAGGGGTCTGCGGCTGGGATGGCCAGCTGGTCCTTCAGGCTCCCCCGGGCATGGGCGTCACCACGTCAGAGTCACTGACATGCTCTGAAAGGGGGTAGGGGAGGAAATTTGGGGCAACTCTCCAAGTGCATGGGCAGAAGGTCCCAGGAGGGCAGATACCGAGGGCGCCCCTTGGGATAAAGGGAAGAACCCGAGAATGACAGGGTGGAACGAGGTGCCCCTCGAACTAGGGAATTGCAATCCTGTCCCCAGAAGGGACAAGCAAGCTGCCCCTGCCCCTTCGTAAGCCTTCCCGGTGGCCCCCCACGTCCTAAAGGCGGGCGCTGCGGGGCAGAGGCGGGCGGGAGCAGGCAGTGGGCTTCGGGCCTGGGAGCCAAGGGCTGGGCGCTGCCCACCTGCTCAGATCCAGGGGGCGGGGGGCACCGGGGGCCCATCTCACCTGCTACGTCTGCAGCCCCGGGGCCGCGAGGAGAAGGGAGTCGGTGCTCGCGGGGGCCAGGCAGGGAGGAAATCACCGTCATCTCCTACGCACAGCGCCCCTCGCAGAGAGCTGCGGGCTGCCGGCTGCCGGCTGTGGGAGCTCAGTCAGGTTCCACGAAAGTGAGGTACAGAGAAGCGGTGGCCGGGTCAGCTCCTCCCGGGCCGGCCCTGCGGCCCCGCCTCGCCTCCAGGCCACGCCCCCTCCAGGCCCCGCCCCGCTTTCAGGCCCCGCCCTTCGCCGCGAGCCTCCCAGCCTCCCAGCCTCCGGGCCTACCCTTATGCTCCGCCCGCCTCCTGGACGCTGAGACTCTGGGTGCTCGGCCCCGCCCACAGCGAGCGGCCCAGTCACTAGACTCAGGAGGCGGGACTTCCGGCCGCCCGGCTCCCGCAAGATGGCGGCCGCAGTGGGTAATCCTCGTGTCGTGTTTTCCTAAACTCAGCTTCAGAGGCCTTTAATCTTTTCCTCTAACCCCAGCGTCGTGTGATCCGCCAATTCCTCTCTTTGTTAACCTAGTCATGTTTATGGCACAGAGTTTAAGCGCGAGGATTTAAATAAGAAATCAGACCTGGTTCAGAATCCCGCCTTCCTCTTTCCCAAGGCAGCGTGACCTTGACTTGGCTAACTCAGAGATTTAAATGTCTGTGAAGCCTTAGCACTGTGCTTAATTTAGAATGAGCTCCCGGTCCCTGTCTGCCTGTGTTTATATTTTGAGGGGAACTACCTGCTTATCCCCTTGGTCTCCCCAGAGGAAACTGGTTGTTATTGGTGGAAAACTTCCAGAGCTTGAAATGAAGGGGTCCCGAATACGGTGGATCCTCCAATAGCACCTTTGCTTTCACGTGGTTTGTTATAACGCTGATGAAATTCCAAGAATTTAATCTTGTGTATATTAATTTGCCTATGGTAAAATTGGTTACGTTATATGTTGTTTCCTTGCAGTTCCAAGAACCTATCCATAATGTTAGGTGAAGACTTAGAACTCCCATGTTGAAACCAGAAGGAATCCTGTATTTGAATTAGTCCTTTGGAAGGAAAACTATTTCGAACTTAAAAATGTTTATAACCTGATCCCACTTAATATCTCCCCAAGCGTCTGTCCTTTGTAAAGCCTCTAGTTTGCTTTGCATCTTTAACTTTCTTGTCTTGCAACTTCAGTGTCTTCCTATCATCCTGGTGGTTTAGTGTAAAGATACAAGAATGTAACTTGAAAAATTACAGTAAGCTAAGTGTTGGTTAAAGTGTTGTGGGCAGTGGGAAGGGCATCAGGTGTTAGACCTGCGGCATCTGAC